TGGAATCATCTAGTAGAGAGTTATACATTTAATTTCTGAGGAAGACATTTTCATATTGTTGCAGAAACTGAGGTTTAGATAAGTACTGTCATACTTTTAAATGTCATAGGATTTTTTTAAAAAATTGATCACAGGAATATTGTTTTTATTAGATTTCATTCTTAGGGCATTCTTAATTTTAATTGATTGGTTCATCATCCTAATAGTAGAGGAATAAGCTCACTTCTCAGTACAGTGTATTTAGTTCTTAATTTTTCTAGATAACAGTTTATTGCTACCAACTGTTTATTGTTTCATTAACTCTTCAGTGAACTTTGATGGCTTTGATCTGGATTCTTTCTAGAAATAAGAGTTCCTAAAAAGGCCTGAGTGAGGTATCTAACTCAAGTTTTGATTGGCACAAATAGATTTAGCAATGTGAACCTTTAGAAAGGCCAAAGGAAAGAAGAGTGTCCATGCATTTAATTCTCAGAACCTGTGAGCCTATGAGAAGTATTTTTATTTCCATAAAACCACCTTTTAATCAAGAAAACCAACTTGGGGGCTGGAAAGATGACTCAGCAGTTAAGAGCATTGGGTTCCCAGCACCAAATAGGGTGATATGCAGTTGCCTGTAACTCCGGCTCCAGGGGTTCTGATTGTCTGCTTCTAGACTCTTTGGGCACCTGCCTTCACATGTGTACCTGCCCCCTGTAATTGAAAATCAATCTTTGGTAAAAAGAACAAAAAAGGAAAAAGAAAACCAGTTTGACCTAGAAGGTGACATTTCCTACAAAGTCACATGATTCTAAATCAGGACCCTGACATTACCATTTCTCCATCTTTCAAGTCATGCTAATTTTTTGGTTAGTTATCTCTGAATTTTCTTCCATATCCTCTTGATCCTTAAGAAAACAGCTGTAAATAATCATGGCACAGTGAATTTTGGTAATATTGACTAACAATTTAGTTCAAGGTGGTCATATAGTCAGTGGTCATATAGCTCTAGAAAAGCAGACACCTATTGTTTGAGAATCAAGGCAGTTTTGAAGGAATATATTACCAGGATGAGATTGTATAGGAAGCCTAGAGACACATTTCTGTGCTTAATGTATGATTGACTATCATAGGACAGTATGTAGGGAATAGTTTCATCTTTTTGTATCTCATAAACTTTTTCCTGTTATTTTGGTCACGATACTTTTCCAAACCTCATTCATGTCATCTTTTAATGCTCTTAAAATTGGATTATATGATTAGGTTAAAATAACTGATTTCTTACAAATAGTAAAGGTTTTATCTACTATCAGTTTCCATTTATAAAAGGGTATCTTAGGCTAAAAGTAGTAAACTGTAATCTCATACTAAAAGTAACTTTGGATGGCATAAAATTACCTTTGAGCAAAAAGGAGGCTTTTGAGAAAGAGAGAGATTCTTACTATATAATTAAAATATTTATGTAGAGTTGCAAAAGCTATTCCAGCTTTTTAAATATTTTATTATTATTATTATTTATTATTATTATTATTTGTGTACAAGTGTATTGCCTGCATATATAAAAGTACACCAGTGTCAGGTAATGCCTGCAGAGGTCAGAAGATTCCCCCTGGAACTAGAATTAGGGATGGTTGTTAGTTGTTATGCTGGTGTTGGGAATTGAACCTGGGTCCTCTTCAAGAGCAGTCAGTACTCTTAACTGCGGAGCCATCTCTCAAGACCCTGTCTTCATGCTCTTACTAAATGAATTAAAAACCTGAACTTCAGAGTTTTAATAATCTGTCCTTATTTAACAAAAAACAAAAAACCCTATTGTTAAATGTGCAGGTAATTGTGTAACTTCTGGTCTAGAGATCACAATTACCTACGGATTCAACTTTTTGAAAACATGAATATCTAAGTTGCTTCGTAGTTCTACTCAAGTATATTGTCTCCCTAGACATCTCATGAAATCTTTTAAGCATTCACATAACAATGTTATCAAGCATCAACCAAAACTAATTGCATTAGCTTAGTAGCCAATTACAGTTCTATAAAATACCAAATTGTTGGGGACAGATGTAAATAAAGGAATTTGGGGCTGCAGAGATGGTTCAGTGGTGAAGAGCATTGGCTGCACTTGAAGAGGATCTGGGTTCAGTTTCCAACACCCACATGGCAACTAACAACTGTCCATAACTCCAGTTCTAAGAGATCCAACACCCTCTTCTGGCCTCCATGGGAATTGCACATGTTGGTACACATGCAGGCAAAACACTCATGTACATAAAAAGAAAAATAAATTAAAAAGTTTAAAATAAATGAATAAAGGACTCCAAGTCTGAAGAATTCATAGATAAGATTTTATATGAGTAGAATTTTAAAAATACGGCTTTTGGCTAATTCTTTTTACTTCATCTTAAATGTTTATTTGTGACGCCCTTAAAAGAGAGAGGTAAAATATATTTTCTGAGATGGATTTCAAACAGTATACAAAATTAGTTGAAAAGTATGTTGCTTTTTCTATTCTACCCTTCTCCTAGCAAAAAAAGATATTTAGTTCTTCATGATTATACACAGAAAAGGAGAAAAAAAACCCAGCACATCTGTTGATACAGCCTTCAAGAGTACCCAAGAATAGTCTTACTATATATACCCTATAGTATGATAATCATGATTAGGTTATTTTACCCTGGATAAATAAGACCATATTTGGTTTTGATTTCTTTTTGCAAAATCATAAAGAAAATGTTAGCTGATCAAGTCAATGAATGAGTACTGTTTGCTTTCAAAATCTTTTTCAGGTTGGTACCCGGAGGTATATGGCTCCAGAGGTATTAGAGGGTGCTATAAACTTCCAAAGAGATGCATTTTTGAGGATAGATATGTACGCCATGGGATTAGTTCTGTGGGAACTGGCTTCTCGCTGTACTGCTGCAGATGGTAAGGGAAAAAGTATTTTTTAAAAAAGTACGTATGCTACATTTGTGAAAAGGGATTTCATTAAAAGGTAATAAAGTACATTTTCTTTTTAACAGCCTCCAAAAGGTGGTAGAGAATTCAGGTGGGGGCCCAGGGACGTGAAAGGAGCTGGTTTTTATTCATTAGCATTGCCAGATGGCTTGCTGGACACTTCACTTACTTTTAACTTATTTCCTAAAACAGCTTTGGAGGGAGTATCTGTATTCTACAAATGAGAAAATTGAAACATGGAGAAATGAAGTAGCTTGCTCCAAGATGATAAATGGGGCAGTCTCCATTTTAAACTCTGACCAAGGTTCAGGGACAAGGCTGTTTCTTTGGTTTTCTCATGTAGGTCATGCAACCCAGGTACTTAATTCAGCTCTTTTGATCAGACGAGATGGATGTAGAGTGGGACTTCAGTCTTCTAAGACATTTGTGCCAAGTCTTTTCAGGACTTCACTAATACTGGCAAATACTTACCCAGATTAAATTTAAATTGTGTCCCCTAAACACAGAACTGTGAGAACATTTGGAAATATCAGAGGTTAAGTTCTGTCTCCTTAAAACTTGGGAGGGTCTGACCTCATGTTAAATTTCTGGCTCAAGTCATACACATATTTGCTCTTGACTGTAAAACTGCATACTGTATTTTTAATGTGGAAAAAAATGGTAGTACCTTCTGTTGTCTTCAGTGCTCCTTCATAAAGTATCTGCTCTTTTTTTTTTTTTTTTTGGCTCAGGCAGGTCCTGACTGCTACTTCCCAAATAAACAGAAATAAATGAGTGTGATTTTTCTTTCCAATTTATAGTTCCTAAAGACTCCCTCTGAGTGTAGAACATTAAATTAATTATGTTGAATATTTTAAAGGCATTAAGCAACTTAACCTGTTTTGAATCACTTATTTTCTGAATCCTATAAAAAGCTCTCAGTGTAAGACAGACTATCTCTGGAATATGTAGTTTGATTTTAGGGTAATATATATATTATATATATAAATATTTAGGGTTATATATATATTTTGTCTTTTTGAGACAGGGTCTCCCTGTAGCCCCAGCTGTCCTGGAACTCACTATGTAGACCAGGCTGGCCTCGAACTCACAGAGATCTGCCTGCTTCTGCTTCCCATGTGCTGGGATTAAAGGCATGCGCCACCACACCCGGCTAGGGTATTATATTTTTAAAGGGAACTTAATAAGAATGTTTAGAAATGGACAGTCATTAATATGTCCAGGATTGGAACCTGAAACTAAGAAAGTTTGAAATGAGATTAATTTTAACTCTGAGGTTTATGGGCCATGAATAAGATGTTCATTGTGTTTTGACTCAAAAGTGGAAGATGTATTTATTATGTGTGTTTGTGGAAGTAGAAGTAGGTTAGATAGCAGATACTATAGGGAAATACATTTCCTAAGAACTTTAGTATGAATCCTTCATACCAAACCATGAGTTGGTGTCATGACAATATAGGTACTGTGTCAAATAATATATAAAGTGATAAAATATATTCTGGATAGTTGAATCTAGAATGAGATAAATGTGAATGGTCTATTCTAGTACCTAGCATATAAGTCATGCAGTGGCTGTACTTGGATGAATACCTGAGAACTGTAAGGTGGCAGTGTGAGAATTAAGAGAAGAAAGTCCTTTGTAGGGAAATAGGTTACTGGGGATATTTTTGTGGAAAAAGAACAAGATAAATGCTTAAATGCTTTGTATGTGCTATGGAGTATTTAAGAGTTAGCTATTTCTTATGTCAGAAATTAGGGCCAGAGGGAAAGTGTAAACCACACCGCCACAGTGGATGGTCCTTAAAATGTGTCTACTTGTTGATGATTAAAATTCATTATTCTCGAACTTTAACGTGCATACCAAACTCCTAGGAATCTGGATAAAACTAAGAGTCTGGCTCAATAGGCTGTGCTAAGGCTGAGAGTCACATATTTTGCAAGCTACCAGTTGACTGATGCTAGTGCTGTTTACCTATGGACCACACAGAAGTTGAATAAACACTTTAGAATGTTAATAGGAAGTCATTAGAGGTGCTAAGCCAGCCATCATAAGGTTCATACAGGGCTGATGAGATGGCTCAACAGGCATCTGCCACCAACTCTAATGACCTGAATGCGATCCTGGGTCCCACATTGTAGAAGGAGAGAACTAATCCTTGCAAGTTGTTCTCTGATTTCCACATGTGTACTGTGGTACGTGTGCACTCGCAAACACATACACACATGTACACACACACACAGACAATGACCTCCATACGCATGTTGTGGCATATGTAAGCTCACAGACATACCGGCATAAATACACACACACACACACACACACACACACACACACACACACACACACACACACACACACACACAGTAATAGGCAGGTACTCCTGTGAAAAATCTTATAACTGTCTCAGCTTCTTTCCCGTTTACAAACTAGAGGTAATGCCATTTTCACTTGGAAGATAAAGATAAAATGACAGTAGTTCAATGTATGTGTTTGTGTGATATGGATAAGTATTTATTGAATATTAGTTAATTTGAAACTCTGGTTGAAGTATATTGGATTTTATATAGAAAAGTATAAATATATGGGGCTGGAGAGATGGCTCAGTGGTTAAGAGCACTGGCTGCACTTGCAGAGGGACCTGGGTTTGATTCCCAGCACTCCATGGAGGCTACCAACCATCTATAACTCAAGTTCCAGGGACCCAATTCTAAGCCCTCTTCTGACCTCCATGGGCATTGCACGACATAGGTGCACTTATATACATCCAGGCAGTACACTCATACACATAAAATAAAAAAATAATAAATACAGCTGTTTTTTAAAAAGTATAAATCTGCCTCATTTATAAACGTACTGTGTGAGGGAATAGAGAGAATTCTGAAGTGTATTAATTCCTTATTGTGGGTCATTAGGGAGTTTGAGCATGCCATAGATAAATATGGTTATAACAGGTTGAGCCCTCAGTCTCAGAAGTGCTAGAAATGAATCCTTTAAAGAGGGATATATATCTATTCTTGATCTCTAAATATTCCGGTTTTTAGCTTATATATAGAAACAGGCATTCTGCATACAGCAGATACATTCTTAAAGTGCCTGGTGAAGCTGAGGTAGGAAGATCAAGAATTTGGGGCCAGCATAAGCTATACAGTGTAGTCTTGTCCTAAACAAACACCATCAAGGGTTACATGTTTAACTGACCATTTGATGTCTCATTAAGAGTTTGGTCCCACTATGATACAAGTACAGTTGAAGGGTCCATTTCTCTGTTTGTATAGAATATAGAATTGGAAAAAGGTTTAATACAGAATATATTTTAGAAAGTTTGTACCAGTCAGGAAGATTTAATGGCTTTTCCTTTTTTTGTATTTCAGGACCTGTAGATGAGTACATGTTGCCATTTGAGGAGGAAATTGGCCAGCATCCATCTCTTGAAGACATGCAGGAAGTTGTTGTGCATAAAAAAAAGAGGCCCATTTTAAGAGATTATTGGCAAAAACATGCGGTAAGTTATACTTTTTCATTTGAAATTTCAATAAAACATTTTTTTTCAGAGGAGTGCGTTTCTGAGATGATCTTCACACAGGATGTTTTGTACTGGAATTTGGAGGTAGTAGAATTAGGGCCTTGTCTGCATACAGGGAGATTACAAGGAAGGCAAATACTGACCTTTGAAGTAGACTCACGACCAAATCTGACCCCCAGTTTTTATCATTTTCTTAGTTAATACCAGCATTTCTCCCTTGCAATTAAATGCAAGGTTAAAGGCCATCTTGGAAGATTCTCTATCTGGGTTAAGATTTTGTTTACCATACTTCATGTTTCTAGCTACATATACTCCACAACACCAGAGCAGTTCTATGCTGTGCCTTCCCCTGCCTACTCTCTGATTCTAGAGTACTCTTGAGCATTTTAAGACTTTAAATCCTAAGTCAGATGACAACAACTTCATGGAATAGAGAAATTTTGGTGTTTTACAAATTTTAAAATGGCACCCATTTGAAAGGTGGGGATGAGGACTACCCAGCAGTTCATGAGCTCAGACCCAGGCATTCATTTCCCTGAGAAGCTTTCCAAACAGAAGACATTCATTTGGTCCCATATAATAATAAAAGTGACTGTCAAGCCAGGCATAGGAGTACGTGTTTGAGGTTTGAGGCAGAAGGATCAGGAGTCTGAGGCCAGCCTACACAGTGAGACCTAAGTGAATACTGAAAATTTCAAATCTTGTCTTACAACTCCTTTATCCCACAAAAATAGCAATTTCTTTATGGAAATGTTAGTCTGCTTTCTGTTAAAAAACAATTGCTGTTACGTTTGATTTTTCTCCTCTTAGGGAATGGCGATGCTCTGTGAAACAATAGAAGAATGCTGGGATCACGATGCAGAAGCCAGGTTATCAGCTGGTTGTGTCGGTGAAAGAATTACTCAGATGCAAAGACTAACAAATATCATTACCACAGAGGACATTGTAACAGTGGTCACGATGGTGACAAATGTTGACTTTCCTCCGAAAGAGTCTAGTCTATGATGGTTGCTGCATCTGTACACATTGAGAATTGGGACTCTGAACTGGAGCTGCTAAGCTAAGGAAACTGCTTACAGTTTATTTTCTGTGTGGAATGAGTAGGACGCCTCCTGGAAATGCAAGAACGCTCCTTGTTGAAAACGTGGCTCTGGGAGACTTACTGCATTGCCTGCAGCACAGACGTGAAGGACGAGAGACTAAGAGAAAAGCTGCGAATTATAAAGAAACTTCTGGAAAATGTACATGAAGAATGTGGCCCTTTCCAGATCAAGGGTCTTTTGGACCTGGCTAATCAAGTGTTTGAAAACTGACATCAGATTTCTTAACGTCTGTCAGAAGACACTAATTCCTTAAATGAACTACTGCTATTTTTTTTTAAATCAAGAACTTTTCATTTCAGATTTTAAAAAGGGTAACTTTTTATTGCATTTGCTGTTGTTGTTTCTATAAATGACTATTGTAATGCCAATATGACACAGCTTGTGAATGTTTAGTGTGCTGCTGTTCTGTGTACATAAACAAAGTCATCAAAGTGGGGTACAGTAAAGAGGCTTCCAAGCATTACTTTAACCTCCCTCAACAAGGTATACCTCAGTTCCACGGTTGCTAAATTATATAATTGAAAACACTAACAAAATTTGAATAATAAATCAATCCATGTTTTATAACAAGGTATTACAAATTCACTGTGTTATTTAAGAAAAAAGGTAAGCTATGCTTAGTGCCAATAGTAAGTGGCCATTTGTAAAGCAGTGTTTTAGCTTTTCTTGTGCTGGCTTGTAATTTAGGGAAAAACAAAGTGCTGTTTTTGAAATGAAAAAATGGTGTCATCCCACCCTCCTTTGCTTCTTCCCATATCATAAGACTTCATCTTATATCCATGTCCCAAAATATTGCATACTTAACCAGTATATATATATATATA